TTCATTACACAATTGATGTGTGTATGGATTGGGATAACAGTTGTATGAGCCCCTAATAAAATGTTAAAAAAGAGGAAAAAAAAAACAAAAAAAAAAACTATATTTGAAATACATATATATGTATATTTTATATCTGGAATGGCTGTATGGAGAGCTTGGTAAGTATCTCCCCAATAAACAATAATAAAGCTAAACAGAAATCAGAAACAAAACTCTAAAGATACTGGGCATCGGCCAAAGGCATATAATAAATTGAGAAACATTTATTCAAGAATATCTACTGAACCTTAGACCAGTTGTAGTTTGTGGAGTTTTACCTTCCCGCCCTCTGGGTCCATGCTTAAAATCCTGATTGAGCTTCTTCTGACTTCTTTTTGTTTCTTAATCTTAAAAAATCTTTAAAGGACACCCATTGTCCTTTACATAATAATGTAAAAGAGACTGCATTGACATGCCCAGGACCCACAGTTCTTAAAGGATGGGCTAAATAAATAACTGATATCATTTTTTACAAAAGTATCTTGAACTTGATGGAGCTTATAGTGAAAAATAAAGTTTATATTTTTTCTTTCAGTCTTTGAATTCCCTCATTTCCACAAACATTTTGAGGTTCTCTTATACAAGACAAATTGTAAGAAAAAGAAAACTCACAACTGGTACTGTCAGAGCAAATATACTTTAAGATAAAAAGTTGTTAGAGACAAAGAAAAACATTTTATGGTACCAAAAGGTGAATTCAGAAAGAATATATAACAATAGTAAGCACAGCTGCCTCAAACAAGAGAGCCCTAACATGCATGAAGCTGCTAGCCCACTTAGACGAAGAGAGGAATAGAGACTTTATAGTATGAGTTGGAGACGTCAGTACCCCTTATTTAATGATGGAGGGAACAACTAAAGGAAAAATCAACACAGACGTAGAATATGAACATTAATAATATTATTCATCACTGTGACCTAATTAACATCTTTGCAACACTTCCCCCATAACTAGCAGAATACATGTTTTTTTCAAATGCACAAAAAACATTCTCCAGATAGATCATATGCTTAGACTTGTGTTTCCCAAAGTGGGTGGCACTGTTCCTTAGGGGGCACTGGAAAAATCCAGGGGATGAGAGGTCAGGTTTGCAAAAGCAAATAGGTACATTTTATCTTGGATTATGGGCTATAGTTAAAAAAAACCACAAAAAAAACAAAAAAAACGTTTTTAATTGCCAGGGAGGCTGGGAAAAGATGAGAGTAGACCAAATAATTTTGGGAACCTTTATGTCCGACCATAAAACAAGTCTCAAAATGTGTAAAACAATTGAAATCATATAAACCACGTTCACTGACCTCAATTGAATTAAAACAGCAAAAAAATTAGGGAAACCACAGATAACCCATAGATCAAGAAGAAATCACAAGGAAAAAAACTTTTAATTGAATTGAATGAAATTAAAAGCACAGCATATCAAAATTTATGGATACATTCAAACCAGTATTTCCCAGGCAAAACAAAACAAAAAAGACCCAAACCCAAATTCACTGCCATCACGTCAATCTGAGTCATAATGGCCCAATGCGACAGAGTAGAACTTCCCACAGGGTTGACAAGACTATAAAACCTTGAGGAAGGCTGCCACATCGTTCTCTTGTGGAACAGCTGGGGGGCTGGAGCTACTGACCCTCAAGTTAACAGCCGCATGCTTAACCACTGCACCACCAAGGCCTCTTAATCAGTACATAGAAGGAAATTATACCTATATTAGACGAAAGAGCTCAAGTGAGTAATCTAAACTTCCAGTTTAGCAAACTCGCAAATGAATAGTAAACGGAACCCAAAGCTAGCAAAAGGAAGGGAAAAATAAAATTAGAGAGGGGCTAGACCATGAAAAGGATACTTTTTTGAGGTACAAAAGTAGAAACATGAACACAGGGTGGCACTTTATTCATTCTCAGCTAGGAATGTGCGGGGCAGGGAACTCACATTTTTCAATGCTTTGTGCATCTCTGAATAACCATGAATGCACCCGAGTATTGATTCGGGTGTTATAAAAAATTCTAGTGAGTTGATAAATTCATAGGTATAGAGTCTACAAATAACAAGGAGCCACTGAGTGAACATGTAGTGGCTCTCTGGCAGGAAAGATAAAAGAATAAATACATAATTTCAAAGTATAAAAATAAACCATATAGATAGGCAATGATGAAAAATTTGCCTGCATGAAAATTTTAAACTTACCTGTGTCATAAATACCTTTTTGTTGTGAGTTGCCTTTGAGTTGATTACGGCTCCATTAAATGATAAGCAACAGAGAGAAGAATCTGCAGGTAGCTCATCAAAGCCCTTATATATCAGAGACAGAACACCTCATTTCAGGACCGGACAAAGGACATAACTCTATTATTCACAGAAGCTGTTCTGCTAACCTTTAAACCTGACAAAATTGCATTTTTCTAGTAACCAGAGAAATATAAGTTAGAATTAGATACCATTTTTGACCAGTCCACTTGGGAAAGGTAAAAGGAGAGGATGCAGAACAGGCACTTCCAAAACCAAACTAAACCCACTGCCATCGAGTCATTTCCAACTCGTGGCAGCTCTGTGTAGGCCAGAGTAGATCAGCTCCTTACTGTTCCTGAGACTAATTCTGGATGGCAATAGCTAGTCCTTTCTCTGCACAGCAGCTGGTAGATTTGAATTGCCGGCTGTACAGTTAGCAGCCTAACACTGAACCCACAGCTCCATCACTCATATATGATTATGAGGGAAGGAAATTTGTCCAAGCTTTTTGGGTAGCAGTTTGGTAATTTAAGTCAAAAGCCTTAAAAATGTTTATAGCCTTTGACCTAGAAATTACATGCTTGTTTACTCATCCAAAGGAAACAAATTTATTAAAAAACTTATTTGTAGAGCTTATCATCACACCCACATTTTGAAACAACCACAAATGAAAAACCTAACCACTGGTCAGAACTCATGGTCTCGCCATGCATTGACATTGTGGGGGGAAATTTGATATGGAATTTAATACTGTGTTGGGTGAAACTAAAAATCCAATATATACAGCATGGCGCTCTTTCGATTTTTTTTTTTTAAATACTGTTTTGGGTGGAGAAAAAAGCAAAGGTGGTATATATGCAAAATGTATTATTGTCTCAGTATTAGGATTAAAGATGATAATTCTTGTAATTTGGGGGCAAAATAATTTGTAGTACTTTCCAGAATTAAAACCACAAATATTATTTTTTTTAAATTTCCTCCTGAGCTGCTATTAGTTGTGTGTAGTGGTAGAGGCTAACAAATGAACCTGAGTGCATAATTCCAGTGGGAAGAGAAGAGGTTCTGCACACTGGCCGCCAGGTGGCATTGTTGGCCACATGTTGCCAACTTGTAGGCCTGCCTGAGAGGTGTAGTGTTAAGTAGTACAGGTAGGGTGAGACTGGGGGAAGACTTCAACTGCAAAGGCTAGTGAAGATTTATTTATTTCTTCGTTTAAGGAGCGGTTTTCTTGAAGGAAGAAAAGAAAGGCAGCCATGAATAAATTGCAGATATTTAAGGCATGTGGGAAGAAAAGAAACAGAATAAGAAGATGGTAGATCCATAGACCACATTAAGGATTTAGTCTTGTACAAAGGAGCCCCGTCTGGTTGAACACATGCCTGCTATGTAAAGGGTGCTGTTTTGCGCTCACCAGGTGCTCTGGCTGAAGGATGTGGCAGTCTGTTCTCTAGCGGTTTATAGCCTTGGGAACCACGTGAGCAGTTCTGCTCTGCCCTGTGGAATCTCTCTGAGTTGTTGTAATCAACTTCATGGTAATGAGATGCTTTGATAAGGTGACATCTCTGCATGTAAACCTACAGAGTGAACGGGAAGCTAGTAACAGTTTTGGCGTTTTAGATTCTGAAAGTTCAGACTGGTTGTATAGTATTAATATTGGGTTCAGAAAGTTAACTTAAGGGCTTGTGTCCTTTTATAGAAGAAAAAAGTTCTAATGGAATTCTGGTATTTAAAGATGATACACATTGATTTTTCTTTGCTTGTTTTTTAAATAGCTGTCACAGGAAGTCTTTTCAGAATAAACTTAGGCCTGCGTGGTCTGGTGGCTGGTGGTGTAATTGGAGCCCTGCTGGGGTAAGTGTTAACATGGCTTGATTCTAAGTCGACACAGCTTTCACTCCAGTCTTGCCTGTTAAAATCCCTACCATTTCTAAAGAACAAACTTAATCATTATAGTCTCTAGTTTTGTAGTCCTGGTGGCGCTGCTGTGCTAACCGCTAGGTCAGTGGTTCAAACCTACCAGCAGCTCCTTGGGAGACAGATAAGACTCTCAGTTCCTGCAAAGATTTACATCTTGGATCCTATGCTGGCTAGCTCTGAATTAGAATGGACTTGATCGCAGTGGGTGGGTTTTCGTCCTGGATTGACAGTACTTTTGATCACTCGATTCTAATTCTACCTCAATTGTTTATTTTACTCCCATTTTTCAATGAGTGAAAAAGTGTTTAAATGTCATTAATACCCAAAACTATGTGAAGTATGAACAAAGCTATTTATAAGAAAGCATAGAAAAGAAACAAATAGTAAATAAGCACATTCTCTAAAATTAGTTTGCATCAGATTTTGATTAGCTCATTAATTTTTAATTTTAATTTTTATGCCTTCTCCAGCTTTTCATTTAGAAATACTTCAAAACTCCAGTGACTCATTCTCTCTAGGTGTTTAGTAATGGCTAAGAGGCTTACAAACCTTAGTCCTTTACTTGCTCTATTATAAGCATGGATTTATTTACAGTATATATATACCGTATCTACGTATATACTCGAGTATAAGTAGACCAGAATATCAGCCAAGACATCTAATTTTACCACAAAAACTGCATTAAAAATGTATTGAAAAACTCAGCTTATACATGAGTATACATGGTTTATGTTTGCAGAACTATGGCCTCCTAAACCAGAATATGGTTGTGCTTGTAGTCTTTTTCCTACTCCTTCCTTGTAGTCTTTTGCCTTTCTAAGTATCCACTTAAAATGTTTGCTATTAAAAAAAAATAGTTTGCTCTTCCTGAGATTGCAGATGCTATATAACCTTGCTTGCTGAGAGTCAGCAGGACTTGAAGCACTTGCTGATGAAGATCAAGCATTGCAGCATGCAGCATTCAGCATTCATTACATTACAATGCAATGTAAAGAAAACCAAAACCCTCACGACTGGACCAACATCATGATAAATGGAGAAATGATTGATGTTGTCAAGGATTTCACCTTGCTGGATCCACAGTGATCATGGAAGCAGGAGTCAAAAGATCAAAAGATGCCTTGCATTGGGTATATCTGCTGCATAAGACCGCTTTAAAGTGTCCAAATACAAGGAGGTTACTTTGAAGGCTAAGGTACACCGGATCCAAGCCATAGAATTTTCAATCACTGAATAGGTCTGTGAAAGTTGGACACTGAATAAGGAAGTCTGAAGAAGAATTGATTCGTTTGAATTATGATTCTGTAGAAGAATATTGAAAGTTCCTTGGACTGTCAGAAGAACAGATCTGTCTTTGGAAAAGTACAGCCAGAAGGCTCGTTAGAAGTGAGGATGGCGAAGCCTCATCTCGTGTACTTTGGACATGTTATCAGGAGACACCAGTGCCTAGAGAAGGACAGCATTCCTGGTAAAGTAGAAGGGCAGTGAAATGAGGGAGACCCTCAGTGAGCTGGATGGACACAGTGGCTGCAGCAATGGGTTCAAACAGAACAGTTGTGAGGATGGTCCAAGACTGGGCAGTGTTATACGCAGGATCACTGTGAGTCATAACCAACTCTACGGCACCGGCCTACAACAACAATTTCTGAGAAAGCAGAATTATGAATATAATAGTATTTATCTTTGTTATCTGTAACTCTTGTGTACCTCTTCAAGTTTTCCTTGTTTTTTTTTTTGTGATATGCTGGCTGTTTGAGTCTGGGTTGACTAGAGAAACAAATTCATAGACACTCATGTGTTTAAGAAAGAGCTTTATATAAAAGAATAATGGTATATTAAGAAAACATTCCAGCCCAGTCCAGATCAAGTCCATAAGTCTGATATTAACTCCTATGCCTGATACCTGTCTGTAAATTCCTCTTCAGACTCACACAACACATGCAATGAAGTCAAGTGTTGATCACCGGCCAGTGTGTGCAAAGTCTTGTGGATCCAGTGGCAGAAACATCTTTGCACCGGCAGGGGTCTCCATGTGGCTCCTCCAGCTCCAGGGTTCTAAAGTAGCTCAATGCGTCTTGTCAGCAGGAAGAAGCAGAGTTTGTGTTGTAACTGGCCTCCATTGAGCTATTTATCAACCTGGTGCTTCCAAATGAGGTCATCAAGCTGCGACCTGGTTTGACAGGCTAGACTCCACCCCTTCACAAGTCGACACCAGATTATGTAACTACTACACTGGCCAAACACTTATTGTATGTCATGTTTCCCTTTACCTAAATTAACACCTACTTATTACTTCAGTCTTCTGTAGGTTAGAATTCCACTGGAGTTAGATGGGTTCTCTGCTCAGGGTTTGTGTTAAGCTAGGTTCTCTCGAGCAGTAAAACCAGTGATGCATCTGTAGGTATATAAAGAGAGAAATTTATATCAAGACAGTTGTAGGAATGGGTAAGTCAAGGCCAGTTCAAGACCATGGGTCAGATGTTAAGCTAGAGGCTCTTCCTGAATTGTGCAACTGCTGGGGCTAATGGACCAGGAAGCAGGAAGATGAGGTAGGAAAACCACAGGTTGGTGATGTCAAGATCAGGCCTGTGGCTGGCAGAGTCAAACAAATACAAGGCCTGCAGAATCTGAGGGCTCCTAAGATCAGCAGGCAATATGGCAGGTCATTCATTGGTAGCTCCTAGGGTGAGTAGGCAATATGGTAGGCATGAGCTCAAGGACTGGAGATTGATGCCACATACAGGACCCAGGTCAGCAAGAAGTGAGGTTTTCCACAGTGACTCTTGTTTTGTGCCATTATGTCAGTTCTGACCCATAGCGAGTATATGTACAACAGAGTGAAACACTGAGTAGTCCTATACCATCCTCACAACTGTTCTTGTTTGGGCTCGTCGTAGCTTCTGTGTCAATCCTTCATCTTTTTGCTTCCCCTGTACTTGATTAAGCATGATATCCATCTCCAGGGACTGATCTTTCCTGATACTATGCCCAAACCATGTGAGA